ATTACGTCGTTCCAAGACTCAAGTCACCGAGTTTCTTGAAATGAAATGCAGGAGACCTTATGTTGGATAGTAATGAAATATTAAATAAAAAAGGGCACGTGAATATAAAGCAAGGAGATGGTGCTTGGGGGGAAAAGGGAAACACATTTTTCTAAGGGCGTTTGACAGCGGCATGGAACATTGTTCGACAAAGAGGGGGGAGTTCACTGCTACAAAAACCAGCCGAGGGTGACACGACGTATTGACTTGTGACATGGCTGCCAAACCGAGCTACCTGACACAGACACACTGATGTAGATATACTGCTTTCACCTCAACACTCTGTTCCTCCCCCCCCCCCTTCCTATGCGTCCTGAGCTTCCATAGACAGGGCCAGAGAGATACCAGTAAAGTGTGTGCACGCCCACATTTCTGGCGCTACGTTTAGATCCGAGGTAGCTGTTTTTACACTCAGTTTGCTTAGAGCCGGCCGACCAATCTTCCTATTGCATTTTTTTTTTCAAGTCGACCTGAATCTCGTGTACTTTACCTGTCAGTTCCTGAGTCAGTCAGTCAGTCGGGCAGCGGCTTGGTGCTTCGCTGTCGCGTGCAGGAGACCGGAGTTCGATTCCCGAGAGGGGAGAACATTATTATCGAATATCTCGACGGTCCTTCTGCTGGGGTGTTGTAAACTTGTATCTCTCTCAGCCCGGGTTGGCATAGATCGGCAGGGTCAGAAGTTCGCGTCGTAAATGATCTTAATTGTGTCAATGAGGGCGTAAAACACCTGCATTGAAAAAAGATTACTACCCTTGGGAAACACGAGAGCAGACGTGAGTGAAGGAAGAAGGAAGGAAGGAAGGAAGGAAGGAAGGAAGGAAGGAAGGAAGGAAGGAAGGAAGGAAGGAAGGAAGACGTCACACACAGATGACCCGAGTTCGATTCTCATGAAGGAAATTTTCTAAATCGAGTATGTTCATCTTTCTGTCGAAACAATGCATTCACCTGTCCTCGCGGTTTTATGCCCAAAAAAAATTCTGAAATTATGCAAACTGAGCCCAAAAAATGTGAAATTATGCGATTCTGTTAGTTTTAACAAAGAATGATAAAGGAAAATAATCAGAAATTATGCAAAAAAATTATTAAATTTTGCTAAATTATGCGGGGTGCATAAAACCTCTGGGACAGATTCACATTGGCATGGGTGGGCCCTGACAGACAGGGCCAGAGCAGCCCGCCTCCTCAACGGTCCAAACTGTTACCCTTCACTATTGACGTTACTATAATGTACCCACAGGCTTCCCCAGTAACTTCGTCACTGTTGTTGGAATGTTCATTGTGGAATGGTAGCTCTTCCGTGGTTCTCCGCTTCACATAGTAACGGGGATCATTTTTACAAAAAAAAAATTGAACTATACTAATGTATCCCTCTCTCTCT